CTGTGTCGCATTGCCTGGCAGCCAGCCTGGCAGCCCACCCTCCCTTGTAAACCTCTTGGAATCTGTTATACAGCCCGGTTGGTGTTGGAGTGTCAGAGTCATCTGGAGAGGCTAGAGACCCCAAACTCAGGCAGGACTAATTGCTCACCAAGGAGCTTGAGGCTCGAAGCAAGCAGTTTACCCATATGCTTGCTCTTAGTCAGTGTAGCCCAGCAACTTGTGTCCCATGCCCTCATTAGAGGCTGGGGACTTCAGCAAAGAGGAAAGACCTCCTAAGACAGTGGCCCCCGACCTTCCTAAGGCTGTGACCCTTTAATACGGTTCCTCGTGTTGTGGTGAGCCCCCAACCATAAAATTATTTCGTTGCTACTTCATAATTTTGCTACTGTTATGAGTCATAATGTAAATATCTGATATGCAGGATGTCTGATATGCGACCCCTGTGAAAGGCCGGTGGAGCCTGAAGGGGGTCACGACCCACATGTTGAAAACCACTGTCCTAAACACTGACATCTCCAGTTCTCTCTCCTCGTGTATTAAACTGGCCACCGGCTTTCCTGGCTTATTTCTGATGTGTGCACGCATTCAAGATTGAGGAATAGGACGGGATGGGAGAGTGTAGGGCAGAGGTGTGGGAGAAATAGTTTGGGCTTATAGTACCCCAAACTAGATTGTACACAAGCTTCCAAGAGATGAGGTCTGAGGGAGGTGTCGGTCATTCAGGCACATGGTGGGCAAGAGTTGGGGATTTCCATCATTGGTTCCTTCTGCAGTGGGGGATCTAGAGATTAAAGAGAAGCAGAAGGGGGCTTTGCCTCTGTCCCCTCCAGATGTTTATCCAACCCCCAGAGTTCTGGTGGCCCCACAATAAGCCCTAGAAGCCACTGCCACCCTCTCCCAGGGTGTCTCACTAGCACATGCCCCTGGCACTTCCTGGATCCCTGGCTGGCATAATATCCACCTCCTCCACTCTCAGTTCTCAGAAACCTGAATCTGAGGGATGGGTGGAGTAAGGGGGGCCCCCAACAGTCAGGGCCAAGGTCAACTTGGCTCTGTTCTCCCTGAAGGCTGGGCTGTTGTCGCAGCCATTGCTGACATGAACCCGGAGCAGGAAGGTGGGTAAATGGGTCTCTCGGCTTCTGGATGGGGACCTCAGTGGGTCTTGGAACCGGTGCCCTGCAAAACTGGGCTCTTTGGGATATGATAGCGCAGGACGTTTTTCTCCATCGGGGTAGCATTGGCTTGCTTTGTGCGAAGGGGGTTGTATGGCTCTGGGCAGAAGCACACTGAGCTGCCAGCTGGATGTTGCACAGGGTGGGCTGGGCTGTGTTGGTGGGGCCTGGAACACCCCAAAGCCCCTTGAAGGGTAACTGACGTGGCAGTGGGGTAAGGTGGGGTTCAGGCACCTGTGCTAGCAGGTGGACGTGGGGTAAGAGTGGGAGAGGGTGGGATTCAGTCCCGCTGTGAGCCGAGGAAAGAGAGCAAGTGTCGGGGCTGGGCTGTGGTAAGGTAGAACCCAGTGCGGCCCAGCCTGTGAAAGACCCCTACCTCCCGCCTCCTCCCTGGAACAGGCTGGGGTCGGGGTGAAGGCCCTGTCTGAACTCACCGTTGCTGCACGGCCGAGCGCCGCCTCGCCAGTCCTGGCCTGTGTCCGCCCAGCAGTTCCGGGTCCGGGTGGGGTACTCATTCCCAGCCTTGGAGAAACTCCCCACTTGGGGGCCATAGTAGACCCCCTGGGAGCCGAGTCCACCAAAGCCTGCCACGTGGGGGTAGCCAGAGAGGAGGCTGCTGTTTGGAGTGGCTACCGGCCTGCTCAGGATGTCAGTGATCCCGTGGGGGGTCCCAGCGGCCAGCTGGGGGCCGAGTCCCGGAGGACTGAGCTTGTAGAAGGAGTTCTGCACTGAGTACTGGCACATGGGAGCCTTCATTTCCGAGAACTGGGCCAGCTGTGTGTTGTTCAGGAGGAATGTCCCCTGCAGGTTGGACTCCATGGTCTCCAGGTCAGCGCGTAGGAGGGCGACGAGTCCTTAAAGCCCGAACGCTTCAGATGGTGGTCCAGAATCTCAGGGCAGGTTTGGAGAATCAGAGTCCCCCCATCCCACCCCAGCCTCTGACTGCCCTCTGGCTCGGCCCTTCCTCGGAGATGGGGCACGGAAGTCAGGTGTCCAGAGCAGGTGGGAGGCCTTCCGCTTTCCCCCTCCACCAGCTGGGTCTAAGGAGGAGTGCTCCCCATATTCAGAGCACCCGATTTCTCTGCCTCTGAGTCTGGGGGCCCTCCATCAGAAGTTTTAAGTTCAGAGAAGGGACATTTCCTTGATAAAGAAATGGCCCATTAGAATACAGACCCGAGACTGGCTGAGCTGCGAGCGCTGTGCGGCCATTGGTTGGAGGCCACATGGGCCTCACATTGGCTTCTCCTAGACAAATTGCACTTTGAAAGATTGACTGTAAATCAGCCCGTCCGTTCGTGAGTGTGTGTGTGTGTGTGTGTGTGTGTGTGTGTGTGTGTGTGTGCATGTGTGAAAGAATTAGCTTTAGACGCCCTGTGTGTGCATGGTCAGAGGCTCCACTTGCTTACCCAAGTCCAGTATCTAGGAAAAGGTGGGTGCCTGGAGGTAGGGACTGGAGGCCCCTGCCGAAGTCTTTATTTGCTTGCTCCCTTGAGGGAGCGGAGGGCTGGTTCAGAGGTCACCTTCCCAAGCTGCCCCTGTATGAATCCCCTTCCTCCTCCAGGACAGGGTAAGTGTATGTGTGTGGGGGGGGGGGGGTCGTGCTGAACAGGATCTGCTCTGGGGTAATGCAAATCTATCGGACCTGAGGACCTGGGGTGGGAAACTTCTCACAGAATGGCTTGGGGGGGGGGCATGCAGCAGCTCCTAGAGTTGCAGGGGTGTGGGTGTGAGGGGGCATTCCTGAGGCCGAAAAGGGGTGGCTGTGCAAATGTTCCTGTTTCTGCCAGTCTGCCTTGGCCTCTTCAATCTTCTGGCTGGTGGGTGCCCTGGGTGAAGTTTCTCACGTGAGAGACCCTGTGTTCCTGAGGCAGGGTCCTAAGCAGGGCAGTTGGGCTGAGATTTGAGACTTAAACTGAATATAAGAGCACTGTGTGCTTCGTTTCTGATGGATTTTTTTTTTTCAATCTGCTGGTTCTTATGGGGGCGATCTCTTGGGAAACTGAGGCACAGGGGAACGAGGGCTCACCTTCTAGGTTATTCTCTAGATTCAGCAATCTTTCCTGAAGTCATTCTCCCAAAGCGTGAAATGACAGGGACAAGATTTGAGTGTCCTAATGAGCTCTTCCTGATCCGGCCGCTGGGGCTTTGGGGAAGTCACTCTTACTGTTTGGGGGTCTGTGTTTTCACGGGTCAGAGATGAGAGTCTTTTCTTAGTTAGCCTTCTTTGAGCAGAGGGCTGAGGTGGGGAAGGCCGGCCTGCCGAGTGCAATTTGACTGTGATGTCAGCAATGCCAACTATGGCACTGGTGATTTGGGTGAGGGAATAGAAAGGATTTTCTAAAGGGGGAGTGATCTTTCTGCAAGTTTGGATTTTAAAAATCATGAGAAAGAGTCCTTTTTTTTTTTTTTCCTTAAGACTGTGTATGTGTGTGTGCGCGTGCCTGTCCATCCATCAGTCTATCCGGGTCTACCTGAGGAGTCCAGAAAAGGATGTTGAATCCCCTGGGGCTGGAGTTAGAGACAGTTGTGAGCCCCCCAATGTGGGTGCTAGGAGCCAAAGACAGGTTTCTTGACACCCATCTCTTCAGCCTGAGAAAAAGTGGGTTTTTGTTTGTTTGTTTTTTAACCATTGTACAAAAAGAAGGACTTTATTTGGGGAAATTGATTTCTAATTTATGACAAGTTTTGCTTTCAGAACCAAACCCACAGAACACCACATTCTAGTTCACCCCTGCAGCCTGGCACACTGAGCAAGTGATGTTCTTATTCTTCACGGGAGTCCCTTCTTACCCGGTCAGGAATGGGGGCTCTGCCTGTCGGAGTGATTTTAGCCGCGAAGTCATCAACCATAACGTGTTCAAGTCCTTTTTTAAAATTACCTCTTTACAGTGTGCCTTCAACTGATTTTAACCTCAGCAACTCTTGAAACATTCTCTCTCTCCAGTTTTTCTTAATTTTTGGCCAATGTCTGCTCTTGCCTGCCCATCTTTTTCTGTCTTGCTGACCACACTCCTCAGCTGCCTGGACTTAAGCCCTCGGGTAAAAGTTCTTAATGGTTTGCATCAGTTAGGTTTGCTCCAGGCCATGCGCCGCCAGCTATTCCAGATTCCCAGACAAGCCACCCAACCAAGTCACCCAACCAAGTGTTTCAAACCTCCCCCCCCCCCCAAAAGAATACAAGTGCAGGAGCCAGTGTCTGCTGGGATCTCAGTGTCTGACTGACGGCTTGGGCTGGAGTGGGACTGAGGTGCACCAGGGATTTGGGGGGACAAAGATTTGGTCACCCCCTAATATGAGAAGTTAGGACGGACATTTGCTGCAAATGATTCGACTCTTATTTAACGCTAGAGCCGATAAGGGTGTGTTGTCCGGTAACCTCAAGCGACACATGCAGGGGACACTGTTTATTCTCCATGTGACAACACCAGTGCGGAGCTCAGCTTTGCACAAAGCGTTGGAAACCACTCGGGAGCAGGGATCACTTCCTCTCTCTAGCGAAGGCAGAGTCTGGCAGCTCCCCCTGGGGAATGTCACCTGCCTGCCTGGACAGGTTCTCTGGTTGGTAGGGTCAGTACCGCCCCCACCTCTTCTGGTCTCTCGATAGACAGCCGGTTTGTCAGTTCTTTCTGGGGGCTTCTAGGGAGGGTGGTATTGATTAAGGGGCTTTCCAGGAGCTGGGCGTTGGCGGACTCCTTTTAGGGGCAAAGAGAGGTGTTTTCCGATGCCACTCACCAGACTCCAATCACACTCCAAACCAGGCTACACCAACCCCTGCCCAGCACCCTCAAACTCTCAAAGATGAGCCAAGAAAGGAGAGATGGAGACCTGTGCCATGAGTCAGTTTCTTTATTAATTTGACATTTGTTTAGCTGGTGTAGGGAGAACGGTCTATACATCAGAGTAGGGAGGGGTGGTCTCTCTCAGTAACAGAGCATGTGAGAGAGCCAAGACATAGTTCATTTTTCATAACAATTAAAAAAAATCAAGGTCATTTCAAAACTTCTAAAAAGCGTCTAAGGTGCAGACTGCAGCATTCTCTAGGCATCAAGTGGAGACCCCAAACTCCTCCTAAAACAGCTCCTACTAGCAACGGGAGCGCGCAGCCATGCCGCCGAGGGCGGGGGGCAGCGTGCCAAGCAGCCAAGCCAGACTGAGCGGAGGGTGCCAAAGCGGAGCCGGGCCGCGCGGGGCGCTAAGAGCCGCTACTGGGGCGGCGGCCTGGAACAGAGAGGGTGCGGGGCGAGGCGGGGCGACCCCGCGCCCGTCCTCGCCCGCCCAGCCCTCCCGCGGCCACCCCTCGGAGGAAAGCCAGCCGCGCCCGCGGACTACAGCATCCCCCCCTCGCCCCCATTCCCTACACCCGCCCGGGGCTGGAGCGCACGCCGGCTGGAGCCACGGGGCGAGCTTCCAGGGCGTGGGGGCACGGGCATGGAGGGGCGTCTGTGCTACTTGGAAGGTTTTTTATTGTGTCCTGACGACACCCCCCCTCCGAAGAGCGGCAGGCGAGGAAGGTGACCGCGCCGTCCACCAGTGGCTCCTGGAGAGCGAGAAGAGCCTGCCAGTCTCTTTCCTGGCCCTAGGGGGCGCCGCCCGGGCAAGGCGGAGCCGGATTGTGCTGATTCGGGCCTCCCTCTGCAGGAGACTCTAGTGTGACGTTAAGGCTCTTCCCTGAGGGCTCCAAGGCAAGACCAGCCAGTTGAGGGGTCCCTTCCTGGCCTGGCCCTGAGTCTAGGTAGAAGAGGGTCTCTCCTCAGCCTCCTGGTCAGCAGCTCTATCCTGCTCCGGCTCTCCTTGCGCTGGGCCGGTGGTCGGAGCTTGAGCCCAGCGTCTGGTCTGTGCCAGGACCTCCAGCCTGCGGCCACCTGCACTTCAAGCACCAAGTTGGCTCTGGGAGACCTCAGGGTGGTCTGACCTAGGAACTGGCAGGTACATTCACAGCCCTACTCCCTTCCTCTTCCAGTGAAAGACAGCCTTGAGCTCCTCCCACAGCCTGGAGAAGTCCTCGGGAGCTGAGCTGTTGAGGGCTTTGTACATACTGCTAACGTGTTTCTATTGGTTTGCATAGTATTTATTGTTTTCATATACACAAGGCTGATTACTGTACAGTTTACACTTTGAACACAGACTATTATAGAAGTGCTTGACGATTTAGAAAACCTCCTCTCTATTGAACATGCTGGTGCGATCCTCAGACAGCCACAGGCCCTTCCCCAGCAGAGAACTTTGAGATGGGGGCCCTGGCTCCCTTTGAGCCCTACAGCAAATCTGGGGGGCTCCTTGCCTCACTTTTCAAATTTCTAAACACAAGGAACCCCGAATGCACTCTCAGGGTAATGATTTCTGCTGGAAGATGATTAATACTGAAACTGAGAGACAACATAAAAAAAATATATATATATCCAGTTTATCCATACAGCTTCAGAGGTCACAGTAAAATCAGTGTGGACTAGTGAAGGGGAGACCTGCGTGTGTGCACCTGTGTCCTGTCATTCTGGGAAGAGCAGTCCCTTCACCGGGAAGTGGGGCAGGGGGGGTTGTTACAGGTGGCATGTGTTGTGTGCAGGTGTGGGAGACGGACACACGAGGATATGGGGGCGATGGTGCTAAACTGATTTCACACCCAGTTTCCAGTTTTCCCGTTCCAGAATGATCACGTGAGTTTCTTACAAATGAGGTCGAAGTCAAAATCAAAAACAAACAAACAAACAAAAAAGCAAACAAACTTTAACCAACCATCCCAGCCACAGTAGAGCCCTTATTCATGTCTGCACCCATGTGCTCTTTGGGGCTTGCTTGCTCTCCCTCATTCCTCCTCTCCCTTCTTCTTGCGGCCTTTGTCCTGATTCCCACAGAGATCCATAGTCGCTAGAGGCAGGCCTGGAGACTGTAGGTCATGCGTCTACAGCCAGTCATTCATGCGGATACGAGACTAAAGGAAGCCCCTTACAGAGGTCATGCCAGGATCTTAGGACACGTGCGACCCTTCAGTAGCCCTCTGGTCCAGGTCTCCTTCCGTGTGCATGACAGAGTGTGTGGAGTTCAGGGTTTGGGTGTTGAGGTGTGATCCTGCGGGACACAGAAAAAGGAGTCACTCAAGAGTCCCGTGCTTCCTTCTTAGGCAGGGCAGACCAGGAGAAGCAGGATCCCCAAGCAAAGCAGTGAGCTGAGAGTGTAGTGGCAGAGGCTGACCCCCAAACACCGCCCACCCTTCCCTGTTCTCTACCCAGGTGCTTCATCTTACGAAGCCAGCCAGCCTCCACTGTTTAGTACAGAGTGGATGAGCTCTCAAGAACCTTACATAGGGGGCCAGAGAAGGTGATGTGCTGCCAGGGGGCTGGGAGAAAATCTGCAGAGTAGATTCTTGTGCTTAGAAAGTGACCATTTTTCTGTGATGGGTCCTATGCCAAGAAAAAGGCTAGGCTAGGCCGTAGTGCATCTACACTTTCAGTTTAGGTGGGTCCACAACACTGATCTCCGCTCTATGCCTGCCATGGACAAGATCACTGGTCTCAGGAACTCATGACCTTGAAGCTCTGGTCTTGGGAACACATGACCATGAAGCTCTGGTCTTGGGAACACATG